CTTCACGGAAAGAAGTACCGAAATTCCACAACATCTCTTTCGATTGCGTATTGTGGCTTGGGCACAAGAGGTTTAGAATTCGTCATATCAGTTACTCTTACTTTCGTAGGCTTAGATTAGAAAGAGGGATGATTCAGTTATGGTGTCGAGCCCAGCCGAGAGGATTTCTGAGTTGTGTCAAGGGGTTAGAATTGTTTCCGCCTTAAAACATAACAATCTTGTCAGAAACAAAAACCATCATTTTTTGTTTTTTCGCTTCCTCTAGGCCAGCTTTTACTAGCGAAATAATCATAAGTATAAGCATGAGTCAGTGAGGACGGCAGTGACAGAAGCGCCGGCGTAAGATGATACAGAAGAAGAACCAAAACACTTTATTTTCTCACACCAGGAACCATCACTACATGGACAAAACATAATCTTGAAGAGGGTCCGGATGGCGTAATCTGTAAAAATCTTAATCATCAGTTAAATTTTATCCCAATTGTCAGTTGTCAGTTAATTTTGAATATCCTAGATCTCTGCTATCAGTTACAAAACTCATCTTTTTCTCAGCTCAAATTTTTAAATAATTCTCAGCTGCCAGTTAAACCAGACCCTCTCAGGAGAGCGAAAAGTTATCTTTCTTTATTTTGACGCTTGTATTTATTCCACGCATGGTGGAGAGGACAAGAAAAGTAGAATGATTGTGTTCGTTCAGTTCTTAGCAATCATTAAGGCCTGAGGCTTGCTTTCACCAGCGCATAAGCATAACCAACATACGCTTGATAGATAATTAACGCCTTTTGATTGGAAAATTTCCCTATTTAACAACACCTTATTGTGTCTGGGCATAGAGCTCAGTTAGAGAGAAAGACCAATATTCAAACTTGAAATCATGACCTGCGTTGGCCGCGGTCGAAAACATGCGTTATTCCATTCGTCACAAATAAAATCAAATTTTGGGCGCACGAAAAAAGCAGCGATAAAAAATCTCGTTTGATGAGCAATGTGGTGACTTTGTTCTCTCAGCCGATACACAGCAGCGGAAGAACCAATCACATTCACAGATTTTCCGCTGTACACTAATTGTGTGGTAATTTCATTTGTTTTAAAACATAATGACTAGTAGAATTCTCGCCATTTATTGGTCGAGGAAAATGGATGATGAGTATCCGAGAGGGCATGAGGCCCTTTAAAATAACGTAACTCCCAACCCATGTTAAGGTAACAGGCCATTTTCGATGCATTAAAATTCACCTTGGTAGTGAGGCCCAGAGGACACAAACAAAAGAAATGAATAAACATTGTCATTCAATTCCCTTTGTTTGTGTCTTTAAAGCCTCACTGCCAAGCTGAATCTTAAAATATCAAAAACGGTCTATTTTGAGGAATCCTGACAAATTACCAGAAATCTAAGAGTTTTGAAATGTTAATCAAGAAAATTAAAGCAAAATTTCCGACTAATTCGTCGCCTTTAAAACCTGATCCCACGAGCTGTCACGCGTCAAAGTAAAAAAGAAAAAAAACAAACCGACCACAGCTTTCCATGATCTAAAACTGTTATATCTAAGTTTTCTGCAGGTTATGCCTTCTGGGTCTTGCTCACTTGAGCGAAACCCCGTACAGAGTGCAAGGATACACCATGAAAATTACGGCGGGACAAACTGTAAGCCAAAAGAAAGGGGAAGGGGCTATCAGGGGTAGATGTGGCTTAGGGAATGGGGGCGAAACAAAAAGGAAGCCAAGAGAATGGGGCAAGGCTATAATGGGACGAGACGGCGAGGGAATTGGGGCGAGACAAAAAGGAAGCAAAGAGAATGAGACGAGACTACAATGGGACGAAAGGGTGAGAGAATTGGGACGAGACAAAAATGAAGTCAATAGAATTAAGTGAGAAGAGAAGGGGGAACAGAAAGCAGAGAGGGAAGTGGGACGAGACAAACAGTAAGCTAAGAGAATGGGACGAGACTACACCGGAGGAAGGGCGAGCGAATCTAGGGCGAGACAATTGGACTTGGCGAAGAGCTGGAACGAGACAAGAAGAAACTTAGGGGAATTGGGTCGGGGCTGTTAAGAGAGGGTGAGGGTAATACTGCATCAGTGAGACAAAAAATAAACCAAGGGAGTAGGAGTTAAGCTAACAGATGGAGGGGAAGGTGAGGGCTGTAAGAGTGAGACATTAAGAAAGCGATGGGACTGGGAATGAAGCTAACTGAGAGAGAGGAACAGAGTCAGTAAATCGCGTGATAATCGCCTGAAAATAGACTTTCGCGAAGTCCTTTCTATATTAGCGTTTCCAGGGTTCTTTACGTTACTCATCGTCGCTGAAGTAGCTCGACTTTACAACTTCTTCCCTTCGTAGTGAGTCTCATGACTCAGCGACTAAACATCAACGGTCGACTTGTGCACAGTTATCACTCGACCGTATTTCGATTAAAAATACAAACTGATCTAGATATTGATGTTCTTTACTGACTGAAGATGGAGTTTAATTTATCTTGGTCATTAAAACAGTTCAAAAGCGCGTATGACATCAAACGAATATATTAAAGGACTTAAACATCGAAATAAATAATGTTGAATTAGTGAACGACAAGGAAATCAGTGCAGTAAACTAACTTCATTGTTAATCATTGAATCACTAATTTTGATTTGAACATAACTTGACGTTTGGCGTTGAGAAAGCACATAGAAACGAAGCTAACCTATTTCATTGGATATAAAGAGGAACTTTCTTAGACATGTTTGACAGAAATGTCAGTAATGAACTATTAAAAACAATGGACAATGGTAAATTAAGAACTGGAAGGAACATGAACCTTGCGTCATAAATATTTTGCAAACCGAACAATTTTCCGGGCAATATTTTCCTCGTTTTCTTCAAAAATTATAACTGATTTTTCACTGCGTTATACTTAATGAATGTTTCCATGTTAACGTTGGCAATCGACCAGGAGGAAATCCGAAAAGCGAACGAAAAGATGTTATGGCGCGTGGACTGTATTTGCTTTTCTAGGAATGAGAAATGAACCTGACAAAGATTTGGTTCGCGAACGACAAGTTTTAAAACCAACCAAAATGAAACAGCCCAGAGGATCACTAATGAACTAATCGCCAGCAGTTCTTTTCAAGATATGGACACTGGCCGAACATGTTTTCGCAGGTAAGAACATCTGCTTACACAGCATTCACCAAGCACCTGATCATCGTTAGAAACAAAAATTGAACCAACAGTAAGAAGAATGAATTTAGAGCGAACTCTAAAGTCGGCCGCCTAAATTTCTCCAATCTAAACAGGTTGTGTGTATGTTCTTGACATTCAGTAGCAAGACAAACCCAGTTATATGAGCGTTAGATGCAACATAGCTAAGCAAACTGAAATGTCCGTAAAATTTAATATCAAACACATCATGATGCCGTTTTTAACTAAGCACTTTCTAGAAGAGGAGTTTTATTTTGGTACTGTCGCCTTGCCCTCTTCAACTACCTCTGCATCGAAATTACGCATTTGCGGGAAAATGTAATTGAAAATATTCAGGGTATAGCGTGGGCTTTGATGATAAATTTGCTTTTTCCGCTTCAAAAGGTCCTCATACAGGTTTTAACGTTCTTTCTTTGGATTTCGATACTTGTTTCTTTCAATAAGCGAATGTGACTTATATAATTAATAAAAAGGTCTGACAAATATTATTAATAAGCAGTGAATAATTATGCACAATCAAAGTTTTAATCTTTATGACTGTTTTCTTGATACTGGTGATTAACCAGCTAGCCGCCCTCTTAAGAATTCATCACGTTCCTTATGACGAGAAAAACCTTTCATCTGAAAAACATTTTTATCGTAAAGTTATTTTTTGTAAGTCCAAGATAGAAATTTGTAGCCGGTAGAGTCTGATCCGTAGACAATGAATTAAATATTCAGATTTTTGCACACAAGGTGGTGACCTTTCCTTATTTTGATAACAATAATTTCGATTTAAAAATCAAGTTTTCTCTTAGAAAGAGGTCTTACTTTTCACGAGAGTTCGTTTTCGAAGTTTACTGAAAAAAGAGTGGGGCTTTCTAAGTAGAATGTCCATTCTCCATAATTCTGCTCTTGAGTTTCAGTAAATCTAAATTAAACGATGCAAACAGTAACACGAACTGTTTACAATTTCTTTGGCTTAAAAACGGCAATATAAATCGAAACAATCATGCCGACTTGAAAACATTTACTCAGTGACCAGGGAGGTCGAAAACGTTCAAGTTATTCCATTACATATTACAACTGAAGCAGCTCACGAGGTCATCAAGTTTTTCAACCTTCTGAAAACTTGCAGGTTATAGCTAAACTTGACCGAGATTTGCATGAAAATGACATCGTCGCAACTGAAACACAAAGAAGTTTGGTACGTTTGCTGCCAAAAATAGATAAATCAATATAGAATGATCCAAGGCTTGGAGATTTCGATATACATGCACTGACGGGCCGCTATTACCATTATATCATTAAGAAATATTCTTGCCATTTCAGAAGAGATGAAAGAGTTTGAAAAGCATTATATTACATATAGTATTTTCTATCTTTAAGTCAAACGTCTCCCCTCATGGTGTATATTATATTTGCATATTAAAGTATAAATACCTAGTAAATACTAACTCAAGCAACAGTGTTTCAGTTACTGAATACCATTTCTAAGCTCAAGTTTTCAAAACAATTTTTTTTTATTAAATCTTCTTAAACTTGGGGGCAATGATTTGTACTGTTTTTCGCCGCAAGAAGACAGAAGATTGCACGTGGACCATCGCTAACAAAGCAAAATGTCAGCAAAAAATATCAAAAATAGAACGCATCATCCCATTGGACCTTACAAAACTAAACATGATGTTTCAGCGAATAACACTGCGCGTAGAATGAACCATGAATTTTTAAATATTTTTTACATTGCGTCACAAACTTGTTATAACAAGAACTTTTTTAAATAAAGAAGAGAGGAAAATCTTTGCATTTAGCTCCACGTTTGTAAAAAGACATACCCCAAGCATTCAAGAAGCTGACATGTAAGCTTTCATTCAGTTCTGGTTATCTTTTTCAGACCTTTGCTCGTTTCGTCATTAAACTTCACTATATTTATTCTCTACATTTCAGTTTTGTGCTGTTTGTGCCCATACAACCAAGTGAAACGCTGTGTTACTTCAAAGGTAATTGATTTAGATATGTTTACCTGCGTTTAATGTTCAGATGCTGCGATTAAAATGCCTCTTTAGTTTTAGTGAAGATAGAAATTGTTTAAAATGTTCCGCTCGTCTAAAACTTATAGAAAGAAACTAAATAATTGGTCATATGCTCACATGAAATCAATTCTTGTTAATAAGAATGAAATGTTTTCACGATCCTTAAAATTAGATCACTTACAACACACGATTACATGATTAAATTTAAGATGGCAAACTCTCGGAAAAGAACTGCTCAGTTGTTTGGTGCCCTGAAATAAATTTACGACCAAAATGTGTCAAGCAGGTTTCTTTCGAGTATTCCAAATAACAAATTAAATTCAAGACTCGAAAAATAAAAGAACACAACACTATAGGCTTAGTTTTCCTTTGCTTACTGACAAAACACTAAAATCCACTGCGAATGATTTCTACAGAATGAGATCAGTGGATAGATAATGGACCCTGTTTCCTGAGTCATGATATTCTTTAATTTTGTTCTGCTTTTGTTCTTGATGGTTCTAGTTTTACAATCGTTTCTTTTTGGTTACATCAAAAATCTTAAGAAATACGCGAAGCATATTGTAAAGAATTGAAAAGGCTAAACTCTGTTTTTTTAGCTCGCTCTTATTCTCAACTAGTTTTCAGGCCTCTTTTTTTTTTAAGACTGACCCTTTTTTGAAACAAAAGAGGCAGTGATCATGATATATTTTATTTCAAGCGACCTAAAGACCACGACTTTGTTCAGAATTTCGTTTATGATATGATCATTTCATTAGAAGTAAGGAAACGAAACTTGGAAAAATACAAGAATGGAAGGCTTCATTCTATTGGACAGATCTGCGTCTAAACAAAAAACAAAGCGTCCTAACCAACAGCATTACGTGTTAGAAGTTACCTTGTTTTACAAACTTGTTCTGACGGGTAACTCATTAAACAAACATAGAAGAACGAGTATGCGGCTTAGTCTGAATAACCATACAAGAAACTGACAATGTAAGTTTTCATTTTAGTCCGACATATTTTTATTAACTGTCTTCTCGTTTTCGAATTACGTCTTACACACACTTTTCTTTTTGTTTCTACGTATCTTTTAGTCTTTGCTGTTACGTTGTGTTACTTCAGAGGTAAAAAGTTTAGTTTTCGCATTCGACTGAGTTCAGAGTTTAGTAGTTTGATCGCTAAAAATGTGTCTGCAGTGCAATTAATCAACAAAGTACTTTTCTCAATTTTGAAAAGCACTTCCGAACGGTAACATACATCCATTTTACAGTAAAAGTTCCTCGTGTGTTTATCGCTTTTGGTGTGATTTAACAACTTAGGTTTTAACCGTTTCAAGAACATTTAAGCGTATTGCATTTCCTTTCTGAGTCAAGCTAAGAACTTCTCGTTTACATGAAGATGCTATTTTCAAATGAAAAGTTCCTCCCGTGTTTTAATGTTTTGTCACCAACATAAGTTTCAATTGCTAAGGTCCAATTTTCGTTTAGCCATGAGAACCTGAGACATAAAAAATTCAAGCTCAAAGGTTCTTTATCTATACTTATTAAATTAAGAGCTTTTCATTTAAATCGAACGTCTGGCATTGAACGCCGTTTCGAAAATTACATTTGCATCTATTTTCAATAGATTGTAACCAAAAACTGTGGCGAAATATTGCTGAATTCGTAGGGGTAGGATTAATTTAAAATAGAGCAAAATTAAGATGATAAGCGTGAACTTCCATGGACAGATAAATTCAGGAGGTTAAAGGAAGGACCAACAAAACTACGAGAATTCGAAATTTATGAAAACTTAAGATATTCGCAAGAACGTCGACACAAAACGAAAAATACTTTGTCCACACTTATTAACATTGTTCTTTTACAAGGAGTATTTTTCCATCAAAGTATGTTTGAAAGTGGATTCCAACGAGTAAATTGTTTTTTCGTTCCTTTTCTTGCCAATGCTAAATTTTCAAATTAATACCACATGCCCAATTACCTCAAAGTAAAGTAAATTTAAAATAAGAGTCCATTTCATTGGTCGATTGAGAATTAAAATAACCAATAAGACAGCATGTCTGTTTAATTCGACTTCGAACGTGTATAAACGCGTTTATCTTGAGAACAAAGAAAAGAAAATATGACATGACAGAGTCCATGCCATTGGTCGATTTAAACCCTTATCCAGCCAATAAGACTTCTGGTCTTATTTTGCATTTTGCACGTAAACGTAGGCAAAACATGTTTTCACGTGAAACTCACTCACTGCAGAGCAAAAAAAAGCTCTGATACTACACTGACGCATCATTTCCCTTCAGTTTATAGAAACAAGAACAAGGTAGGAACTGTATCAACTATGTTTAGTCAACTGTAAGAGGATTGCATTTAACAGGCAACCATATTGAAAATGTGCTTGCAGACGTTTTACGGGAGACTCGTTTACTAAAGAAAGAACTAGAGAGAAATTTTTGTTGTACTTTCGGTGAGAAAGAACTAGAGAGAACGTTTTGTTATACTTTCGGTGTCATTTTCCTTGAAATGATAACATCAGGAACAACGTAGGAACGTTTATAACAAAAGAGCTGATTTAACTGTGAGAGGAATATATGCTAAATTAAATCAGGCATCGCACTGGGTAAGAAATTAATCAAAATTAGCGGAAAAAATATCACACACCGTATAGAAAATGAATGAGCACCGTATACTGCAGGCATATATCGTCAATATTTATCGCCTTAATCTTCATATTCCTTACAGATCAGAAGATATCTAACGATGTCTCCATCCCGTAAGAAAATTTCGCTGACCATCATGTTGTGTTTGGTGATTTCAACCCTGATCACCTTGTGCTATGCAGCTAACTCAAACAGTAGCGGCAAAACAAATCCAAATATGGTAATTTCATTTACACCTTCTTTCCTACGCCTCCCAGTCAATTATAGTCTCGTCCAGGGGTTCAGCTATTTGAACGCCTGGAAGAGGCTAAGAATAGAGCGTGAAAAAGGATTTCTTGGAAATAAGAACGTGAAGTTAGAAGGAGGTTTGATGAATTAAACCGCTAAACAGCTACTGTAGAAGTTTCGGTTAAGTCAACATTTTAATAGATCAGGTTAAAATAAAGCGTTCTTTCCTCTTTACATGCAGGGCACACACCAGTTTCCACTATACGGACCTTGTGGTTATGGTGCCTGTGTTTGCACCCCAGGAGTCCCAGGTATCCCGGGAACCCCTGGAACATCGGGACCAGCAGGCATTGCGGGATCACCCGGCCCGCAAGGATCCACGGGACCACGTGGAGACAGAGGCGAGGCAGGGAAACCTGGAACTGAAGGCCCCCAAGGCCCTAAGGGACCTCCAGGGACATTGGGGCCGAAAGGCACCACGGGCCCAGCGGGCCCAAGAGGAACAAAAGGCGACGCCGGCGATAAAGGAAGCCAGGGCCCCCCAGGCCCTAAGGGACCTCAAGGATCCACGGGCAAAGTGGGCCTAGGGGGAGCCAAAGGTGACGTAGGCAATACAGGAAGTCAAGGTCCGCCTGGGCCCCAGGGACCTCCAGGGGCATTGCGAAGTAACTGGAAACAGTGCGTGTTTAAAAGTCTTAGCGATGGCAAGGACACTGGATTAATCAAGGTAAATGTTAAAACTAGCATCGTTATTGCACAAGTAGGAGGTGTTAGTGGATCAAACCAAAAGTTAAATACCACAGAAGAAAAGATGGATTTCGTTGAACTTTATTAAAACTAGGGAAACTAACTAGCAAACGAAAGTTTCTTGCAGACAACATTTGTTAACGTTGCTTATCACTGTGATCAATTGTTAGGCGTCCGCTATTTACTGAGCTAAAAAATGTTTCTGGGGAGGGGTTCCTAAGAGTGGATCTTTTTATTCCTTTTAGGATTGTATTTTTAAGAAAAAGGCAGACAATACATCTCTGCGTGTCTTCTGGAGTGGTACTCTTCGAATCCATAACTGCCATGGTTGTTGCAGGCGATGGTATTTCACCTTCAATGGTGCTGAGTGCTCTGCCCCTGCGGCGATTGATGGTGTAGTCTACATGGTACATGGAAATGGAGGCAAGAAAGATTTACNCCAGCAAACGAAAGTTTCTTGCAGACAACATTTGTTAACATTGCTTATCACTGTGATCAATTCTTAGGCGTCTGCTATTTACTGAGCTAAAAAAATATTTCTGGGGAGGGGTTCCTAAGAGTGGATCTTTTTATTCCTTTTAGGATTGTATTTTTAAGAAAAAGGCAGACAATACAGCTCTTCGTGTCTTCTGGAGTGGTCCTCTTCGAATCCATAACTGCCATAATTGCTGCAGGCGATGGTATTTCACTTTCAATGGTGCCGAGTGCTTTGCCCCGGCGGCGATTGATGGTGTAGTCTACATGATACATGGAAATGGAGGCAAGAAAGATTTACACCGCGTCCGGCAAATCGAAGGCGTGTGTGAAAAAGTCCAGAAGGGCACTGTGCGCGTGGGATTCTGGGTCGGTAACTGTACTGGTTACGGATCGGCTGACGCGCACACGGGTTGGAGCTCAGTGTCCCGGATCTACGTGGAAGAAGTACCACCCCCACAGCCTTGAAGGAAAGCGGATTATAAAACTTTCTTCGTAGGAGGGTTAGAGCTTAACTGAGACGCCTTGTAGCTAACTTTCAATTGAGTTATCATCATGAAAACTCAGAAACGGATTTAAAAATGGTTTTGTAGGCGTGATTGATAAACAAGCACTTTGATCCAAGTTTTGATGTAATGTAATAATCTTGTAAATCAGGCATTTTAAGAAACAAAGTCGCTTTCATGAACAAAGGAGAGCACATAGTTTATCTTTCAGTTTGCTGGTGAAGGGATATGCAAATAAAGAAAAGGGAATTGAATACCCACGACTACCTGATGAAGTGTGTGATCTGAAGTTGCAGTAACCGGTTTTGTTTGTTTGGGTCATGAAACTATCCGAATCTGGATATATATTGGAGAAAAATGGGAGTCAGAACTCAACATTGAAGACCATTGAAGTCAATTCTAGAATGGCAAGCACAGAACGATCTGCACTTTAAAAGATGAGAATTTAAAATCCCTCAGTTACACTGACATAAGGAGAGTCGGCCAAATTGAGAACGTGAGAGGTCGTATTTCACCTGTTAAAACTTATTTATTAAAATTTCCATCTATCCATTTTTACCTTCACGGAAAGAAGTACCGAAATTCCACAACATCTCTTTCGATTGCGTATTGTGGCTTGGGCACAAGAGGTTTAGAATTCGTCATATCAGTTACTCTTACTTTCGTAGGCTTAGATTAGAAAGAGGGATGATTCAGTTATGGTGTCGAGCCCAGCCGAGAGGATTTCTGAGTTGTGTCAAGGGGTTAGAATTGTTTCCGCCTTAAAACATAACAATCTTGTCAGAAACAAAAACCATCATTTTTTGTTTTTTCGCTTCCTCTAGGCCAGCTTTTACTAGCGAAATAATCATAAGTATAAGCATGAGTCAGTGAGGACGGCAGTGACAGAAGCGCCGGCGTAAGATGATACAGAAGAAGAACCAAAACACTTTATTTTCTCACACCAGGAACCATCACTACATGGACAAAACATAATCTTGAAGAGGGTCCGGATGGCGTAATCTGTAAAAATCTTAATCATCAGTTAAATTTTATCCCAATTGTCAGTTGTCAGTTAATTTTGAATATCCTAGATCTCTGCTATCAGTTACAAAACTCATCTTTTTCTCAGCTCAAATTTTTAAATAATTCTCAGCTGCCAGTTAAACCAGACCCTCTCAGGAGAGCGAAAAGTTATCTTTCTTTATTTTGACGCTTGTATTTATTCCACGCATGGTGGAGAGGACAAGAAAAGTAGAATGATTGTGTTCGTTCAGTTCTTAGCAATCATTAAGGCCTGAGGCTTGCTTTCACCAGCGCATAAGCATAACCAACATACGCTTGATAGATAATTAACGCCTTTTGATTGGAAAATTTCCCTATTTAACAACACCTTATTGTGTCTGGGCATAGAGCTCAGTTAGAGAGAAAGACCAATATTCAAACTTGAAATCATGACCTGCGTTGGCCGCGGTCGAAAACATGCGTTATTCCATTCGTCACAAATAAAATCAAATTTTGGGCGCACGAAAAAAGCAGCGATAAAAAATCTCGTTTGATGAGCAATGTGGTGACTTTGTTCTCTCAGCCGATACACAGCAGCGGAAGAACCAATCACATTCACAGATTTTCCGCTGTACACTAATTGTGTGGTAATTTCATTTGTTTTAAAACATAATGACTAGTAGAATTCTCGCCATTTATTGGTCGAGGAAAATGGATGATGAGTATCCGAGAGGGCATGAGGCCCTTTAAAATAACGTAACTCCCAACCCATGTTAAGGTAACAGGCCATTTTCGATGCATTAAAATTCACCTTGGTAGTGAGGCCCAGAGGACACAAACAAAAGAAATGAATAAACATTGTCATTCAATTCCCTTTGTTTGTGTCTTTAAAGCCTCACTGCCAAGCTGAATCTTAAAATATCAAAAACGGTCTATTTTGAGGAATCCTGACAAATTACCAGAAATCTAAGAGTTTTGAAATGTTAATCAAGAAAATTAAAGCAAAATTTCCGACTAATTCGTCGCCTTTAAAACCTGATCCCACGAGCTGTCACGCGTCAAAGTAAAAAAGAAAAAAAACAAACCGACCACAGCTTTCCATGATCTAAAACTGTTATATCTAAGTTTTCTGCAGGTTATGCCTTCTGGGTCTTGCTCACTTGAGCGAAACCCCGTACAGAGTGCAAGGATACACCATGAAAATTACGGCGGGACAAACTGTAAGCCAAAAGAAAGGGGAAGGGGCTATCAGGGGTAGATGTGGCTTAGGGAATGGGGGCGAAACAAAAAGGAAGCCAAGAGAATGGGGCAAGGCTATAATGGGACGAGACGGCGAGGGAATTGGGGCGAGACAAAAAGGAAGCAAAGAGAATGAGACGAGACTACAATGGGACGAAAGGGTGAGAGAATTGGGACGAGACAAAAATGAAGTCAATAGAATTAAGTGAGAAGAGAAGGGGGAACAGAAAGCAGAGAGGGAAGTGGGACGAGACAAACAGTAAGCTAAGAGAATGGGACGAGACTACACCGGAGGAAGGGCGAGCGAACCTAGGGCGAGACAATTCGACTTGGCGAAGAGCTGGGGTGAGACAAGAAGAAACCCAGGGGAATTGGGTAGGTGCTGTTAAGAGAGGAGGGGGTGAGGGCAATACTGTACCAGTGAGACAAAAAAGAAACCAAGGGAGTAGGAGTTAAGCTAACAGAGGGAGGGGAAGGTGAGGGCTGTAAGAGTGAGACATTAAGAAAGCGGTGGGACTGGAAATGAAGCTAACTGAGAGAGAGGAACAGAGTAAATCGCGTATTAATCGCCTGAAAATAGACTTTTGCAAAGTCCTTTCTATATTAGTGTTTCTAGGGTTCTTTTCGTTGCCCACCGTCGCTGAAGTAGCTCGACTTTACAACTTCTTCCCTTAGTAGCAAGTCTCGTGACTCAGCGACTAAATATTAACGGTCGACTGGCTTGTGCACAGTTATCACAAGACTGCATTTTCGATTAAAAATTCAAACTGATCTAGATATTGATGTCCTTTACTGATTGAAGGTGGAGTTTTGTTTATCTTGATCATTAAAAACAACTCAAAAGCGCGTATGATACCAAACGAATGTATTAAAGGACTTTAACATTGAAATAATTACTGTTGAATTAGTAAACGACAAGGAAATGATCGAGTGCAGTAAACTAACTTCATTGTTAACCGTTGGCTGGATTTATACTAGAGACGGATCATCCGTTTGGGATGAACTTGGGCAAAGAAGGATAGCACTAGCTCATCCAATAATTCGTCTGTGTATAAATACGGGCAAACAGACGGACCATCCATCTAGACGGTTATCCACGAAAGTTCGTGGGTCAAGACGAACTATCACGATAATGCGTCTGGACGGATGATCCGTCTGTTTGCGCGTATTTATACACAGACGAATTATCGACGAACTATCGTTCTTTGCCCAAGTTCATCCCAGACGGATGATCCGTCTGTAGTATAAATCCGGCCATTGAATCAGTAATTTTGATTTGAACATAACTTGACGTTTAGAGTTGAGAAAACACATAGAAACGAAACCAACCTATTTCATTGGATATAAAGAGGAACTTTCATAGACATAATTGGCAGAAATGTCAGTAACGAACTGTTAAAAACAATGGACAATGGTAAATGACGAACTGGAAGGAACATGAACGTTGCGTCATAAAAATTTTGCAAACCGAACAATTTTTAGGGCAACATTTTCCTCCTTTTTTTTCAAAAATTATAACTGATTTTTCACTGCGTTATACTTAATGAATCTTTCCATGTTAACGTTGGCAATCGACCAAGAAGACATCCGGAAAGAGAAGGAAAAGTTGTTATGGCGCGTGGACTGTATTTGCTTTTCTAGGAATGAGAAATGAACCTGACAAAGATTTGGTTCGCGAACGACAAGTTTTAAAACCAACCAAAATGAANAGTTGTTTCCGCCTTAAAACATAACAATCTTGTCAGAAACAAAGACCATCATTTTTTTTTTTTTCGCTTCCTCTAGGCCAGCTTTTAGTAGCGAAATAACCAAAAGTGTACACGAGTCACTAAGGAAGGCAGTGACAGAACGGCCGGCGTAAGATGATACAGAAAAAAAACCAAAACACTTCATTTTCTCACTACAGGAATCATCAGGACATGGACAAAACATAATCTTGAAGAGGGTTCGGATGGCGTAATCTGCAAAAATCTTAGTTATCGCTTAAATTTTATCCCAGTTCTCAGTTGTCAATTAATTTTGCATGTCTTAGATCTCTGCTATCAGTTACAAAACTCATCTTTTTCTCAGCTCAAATTTTTAAATAATCCTCAGCTGCCAGTTAAACCAGACCCCCTCAGGAATGCGAAAAGTTTTCTTTCTTTATTTTGACGCTTGTATTTATTCCACGCATGGTGGAGAGGACATGAAAAGTAGAATGATTGTGTTTCGTTCAGATCTCAGCAATCATTGAGGACTGAGGCTTGCTTTCACCAGCGCATAAGCATAAGCAACGTACGCTTGATAGATAATTAACGCTTTTTGATTGGAAAATTTCCTAACTTAACAACACCTTATTGTATCTGGGTATGCAGCTCAGTTAGAGAGAAAGACCAATATTCAAACTTGAAATCATGACCTGTGTTGGCCGCGTTCGAAAACATACGTTATTCCATTCGCCACAAATAAAATCAAATTTTGGGCGCACGAAAAAGGCAGCCATAAAATATCTCCTTTGATGAGCAATGTGTGACTTTGTTCTCTCAGCCAATAGACAACAGCGGAAGAACCAATCACATTCACAGATTTCCTATACACTGAGTGTGTGGGTGATTTCATTTGTTTAAAATAATGACTAGTAGAATTATCGCCATTCATTGGTCGAGGACCATGGGTGGTGAGAGTCCGTGAGGGTATGAGGCACTTTAAAAGAACTGTGTCAGGAACCTTTTATGTTAATCTTGTTGTTTTTTCAGACAATAAATTTATTCGCTGCGATTCAAGATTACAGAATCTTTAGCGTTGTTTTCAGCCAGCGGTTTTCGCCCTTTGCAACCATCATCCCTTGCACGCATTGGGGAACATGTGCTCTTGCAAAATGGCGCCGTTGTCTTTCCGCGCTTGTGTTTCTATCCGGGATTTTTGTTCAAGTTAATATCTTAGTTTTCACGGGACGGTGTCGATGCTCGGAATGGCGAAAAACGAGCAACAACGTATGTATGAACGGTGTGAAGTTTATTTTTCTTGCTTCTTGTATTTTTAATGTTGTTCGCTTCGTATCATTACAAAATACATTTTGTAATTTTCGTCACTTAGGTTTTACCTAACTGTATTCTAGCTACGTACATTCTGACTACGAATAAACTGGAATTGAAACGTCCGTTGTGCACTCCTTGGATCGACGCCGTTGCAGTAACGTAACTCCCAACCCATGCTAAGGTAATAGGCCACTTTCGTTAGATTAAAATTCAGCTTGACAGTGAGGCCTAGAGGACACAAACAAAAGAAATGTAAAAACATTGTCATTCAATTTCCTTTGTTTGTGTCCTTTAAACCTCACTGCCAAGCTGAATTTTAATATATCGGAAACGGTCTATTTCAAGGAGTCCTGACAAATTGTCTCGAATTTTAAAAAATACAGAAATCTAAGAGTTTTGAAATGTTTATCAGAAAAATTGAGGCAAAATTCCCGACTAACTCGACGCCTTTAACAACTGATAGAGAGTTTAAGCATGAAGTTTACGGCAAACGGCAAACGGCAAAGATTACCTTTGAATTTGTGTTCTTTACTTCTAATCCTTAACTAAATCACACAAAAATACAATAATGTCTCCTACTATTCACCGCAAATACAAATAATTTCACTCTACTATACAGACAGCTGAAGACAGACGGCAAAAGTTTCATTTTTGGCGTTTGCCGTTTGACGTAACGTCATGCTTAATTTCTCTAATCTCACGAGCTGTCACGCGTCAGAGTAAAAAAAAAAAAACAAATCGACCACAGCTTTCCATAATCTAAACTGTTATATCTAAGCTTTCTGCAGGTTAAGCCTTCTGAGTCTAGTTCACTTGAGCAAAAACCCCGTAAAAAGTGCAAAGATACACGATGAAAATTAACGTTGGACAAACTGTAAGCCAAAAGAGAGGGGATGAGGCTATTAGGGAAAGAAGTGGCTGAGGGAATGAGGGCAGGACAGTAAAAAAACCAAGAGAATGGGACGAGACTATAAGGAAAAGGAGAAGTCGAGGGAATTGGGGCGAAACACAAAGGAAGCCAACAGAATGCGGCGAGACTATAATGGGACGTCAGGGCGAGGGAATTGGGGCGAGACAAAAAGGAAGCCAAGAGAACGGGGCGAGACTATAATGGGACGAGAGGACGAGGGAATCGGAGTGAGACAAAAGGAAGCAAAGAGAATGAGGCGAGACTATAATGGTACGAAAGGGCAAGAGAATGGGGACGAGACAAAAATGAAGCCAATAGAATTAAGCGAGAAAAGAAGGGGAAACAGAAGGCGGAGAGGAAAGTGGGACGAGACAAACAGTAAGCTAAGAGAATGGGACGAGACTACTTCGGAGGAAGGGCGAGCGAACCTGGGCGAGACAATTGGACTTGGCGAAGAGCTGTGGCGAGACAAGAAGAAACCCAGGGGAATTCCGTCGGGGCTGTTAAGAGAGGATAGGGTGAGGGCGATACTGTACCAGTGAGACAAAAAATAAATAAAGGGAGTAGGAGTTAAGCTAACAGATGGAGGGGAAGGTGAGGGCTGTAAGAGTGAGACATTAAGAAAGC